ATTCTGGGAACGGAGGTCCACAAGTCTTTAAAAAGTTGCCAAGGTTGGACACCCCTGATCTAGAAGTATGGCTAAATTGAACTCCATTGCTGGGAAGTTGGCTGGGTGAGAATGCAGCAATGGTCCTTTAAGAGAGACAATGGGGCTTCTAGAACCAGGAACAATTCTGAGATCAGTAACTAGAAAGATCAGAACAGCTTAAGGGATGACCCTTTACCAACTGAAGATCGAGTAAGTTTTCCCTTAAGGAGGTGATTGCTATTCAGTGTTTAACACTCAGTCTTGAGAAAGAGCTGGTGCCTTAGACAATACTATCCCTTCCTGATTGATGCAAGGGTGGGTGACCTATGGCCCTAAAGCTACATACAACCAGTGGTTTACTTCCTCAGGGTCTTCAGCCTGTTTTCAGACCCTCTCTGCAGGAACCCAGGTCTCTGGTGAGCACTCTCCTTCCCTTCCCCACTCCCTATAGCGAGAAAAAAGTGGGGTTTTTATGATGCTTTACTCACAACTAACTATGGTTTATTCAGTTAAGAGCGAGAAGCGATCCCTTTGGAGCCAGCCCCATATGGGACCTGGGGCTCCAACTCTTATTTTTTCCTGCAGGTTTCCACTTCCGCCTACCACAAGGCCTTCCTTGCCTTGTGAAGTCAAAGGCTCAAGAGAGATGGGGGGCAGTCTGTGGGCACCCAGGCAAATAGATCACACAAATAGTCCTTGATGTACCACCACAACCGAGCCCAAAATTTATGTTGTTAAGTGAGACATTTGTTGAGTTGAGTCCCATTTTACGACTTTCCTTGCCACAATTTTTAAGTGAATCCCTGCAGTTGATTAAATTAGCAACCCGGTTGTGACGTGAATCCGGCTTCCCCCGTTGACTTTGCATGTCAGAAGGCCGCAAAAGGAAATCGCGTGACCTCGGGACACGGCAACCGTCATAAATATGAACCAGTTGCCAAGCATCTGAATTTTGATCACATGATCCTGGGGATGCCGGAAAGGTCGTAACTGTGAAAAGCGGTCAGGAGTCACATTTTTCAGTGCCCTTGTAACTTGGAACGGTCACTAAATGAACTGTTGTAAGTTGAAGGCTACCTTACTGCTACCCCAACGTGCTAAAATCCGCCATTTAGCAGGAAGAGTCTCCACGTGTCCCTTAAAACAAGTCCGGTATCAAACATGGACATTAAAATAGCAGAAATAGATCTACTCTTATACACACAGTCCTTGACTTACAACCGTTCGTTTAGTGACAAAGCTCAAAGTTACAATGGCACTGACAAAAGTGACTTATGACCATTTATCATCACTTATGACCGTTGCAGCACACACACACGCCCGGTCACGTGATGAAAATTCAAGAGCTTGGCCACTGGCATGTTATTTATGACCGTTGCCCTGTCCCCGAGCATCCCGTGATTCCCATTTGTAACTTTCCCAGACGGCTTCCGACAAGCAAAGTCAGTGGAGTGGGGGGGAGCTGGATTCACTTAATGACCGCGCTATTCTTGTTTTGAACTATGACCATCTGGCAGACGGTACAGGACAATAAAAACAAAGAGGAATAGGCTGAAGGATAGTTTTTAATCCCAGAGCTGTAACCATATTAAATACCACAGTATAGTGCAATATTGAAGCGCAATAGAATGTGAAGGATGCGTGTATATAATGTATGTTCTTATTTGTGGTTTTTACTTGTGTGTAGTGTGCACTATGGACAGCACTTAATTTTGTTGTGAGGTACATAATGACAATAAAGGTTATTCTATTCTATTCTGTATTTCTATTCTATTTTGTATTTCTATTCTATTCTAATTTGATTCCATATATTCTATTCTATTCTATTCTATTCTATTCTATTCTATTCTATTCTGTATTTCTGTTCTATTCTATTTTGTATTTCTGTTCTATTCTATTTTGTATTTCTATTCTATTCTATTCTGTATTTCTATTCTATTCTATTCTATTGTATTCTGTATTTCTGTTCTGTATTTCTGTTCTATTCTATTTTGTATTTCTATTCTATTCTATTCTGTATTTCTATTCTATTTTGTATTTCTATTCTATTCTATTCTGTATTTCTATTCTATTTTGTATTTCTATTCTATTCTATTTTAATTTGATTCCATATATTCTATTCTATTCTGTATTTCTGTTCTATTCTATTTTGTATTTCTATTCTATTCTATTCAATTCTATTCGTCTAATATTCTATTCTATTCACTTAACGACAGTGATTCAATTAACAACCGTGGCAAAAGGATGACAAAACGGGGCAAAATTCACTTCACAGCAGCTTTACTGAGCCACAGAAACGTTGGGCTCCGTTGTAGCGGTCTGACGAGGACTAGCTGCGCCTGGATGTCTTTAAAGAGACCGGACAGCCACTTGTCTGGAAGGTTCTCCTGCTTTAGCAGGGGGCTGGACTAGACGTCCTCGAAGGCCCCTTCCAGCTCTATTCTATTCTAGAGGCCGGGCCGGGAGAGGCGGCCTCCGGGCCTTTCCTTTTCCCCTGCTTAGCCGGAGCGGAGGCGCGGCCGCCTCCCCGCGCACCGCCCAATCCGGGCCGGGCGACGCTCACGTGGACGCGGGCCGGGCGCGCGGGGGAGGCGGGGAGAAGGCGCCGGAGCTCGGCCGGGCCCTCCTCGGCTGCCGGGGAAGAGGACGGGACTGCTCAGCTGGCCCTGCAGGGTACGTGCGGGGTCGCCTCTCCCAGCCCTCAAGGCGGCCTCAGCGGCCTCGCGGGGCC